AGTCACTGTACTGCCAGTGCTGGTTCGTATTCTATTTTTTTGCGTGTTTATAAATGTTTTATCCATGTGACAGTGAGCAGGATATGTAGCTGAAAGAATGAAGGATAAATGTTACTTTCTTGCACCATTCTTACCTGAGACCGGATATCGTAGAATTATTTCTCTGTGTGCAGTATGGTGGCGCTGTTGCCTTACAGCTCCAGGGTTGGACGGTTGAATCCCACCTTGGTCTGTGGATGAAGTGTTTCATGTTGAACGGGTTCGTTCCGGGTACTCGGGTTTCCCTTGGCAGTCTTAGACACGCACTTAGGCTGATCAGTGTCTCTAAACTACCCGCATTTTACAAGTCTGCTTTATCCATTATTCACATTGTCATACTGCACTACATTCAATGAGAAATCCCACTGAATGATTGACTTGAGCAGATTATGTCAGAAGGACACAAGTTAAACTTAGAGTAAGCAATTTCGGTGAAGTCACCTATCTTGAGATTGACGCTATTTTGATATTGCAGATATCCTGAGAATCCGTTTTAATAACAGGGTAAACAAACTAAACAAATAGGCCTAACAATATAATACATTTTCAGTTTAGAAACATAACTAAACATAGCCTACTTTGAAAAACATTTTATCTGCACATTGAGTTACAGTATGTTTTCTATTACAATTAAAAAATAGGCAGTCACCGTATAGGCTATAGCCTACATAATTGAATTAGCCTAATGACTGGAAATCAAGTATGCAAAAAAGCGTAAACTAATGAAACGTTCTGGCTAAATACTTAATTAAATTGTGATTGTTCGTAGAAATGTTATTTGCAAAATCATTCACATCTCAACTGATCTCAGATTTTCTATCGTTGAGGTGCCGCGAGCTCAATGAATGAATACACAACAAAGACGCTCATTTCCTGGACGTCCTAACGTCACACATAACACATAACATTAATAATTTAGAAAGAAATCTGAGCTGCTGGATCGTGTAAGTAATAATAATGTTAATGTCTATAAATATAATATAAATGGAAGCATAAGACGTTGAAGAAATTGGTGAAGATTAATTGGGTAACTGACAAAAACGGTACGACATGTGAGGATCCGGGACTATGCGGTCCATTCAACAAATCCCAGTCAGAAACAAGCGCTCATTTTTCTGAATGAACTATTTGCTAACACAGCGCAGTTTCGATCCTTCGGTGTCCGGTAAATGATCACGTCGTATTATTACCAATATTATTATGCAGGCCAGTCTTTCACTTTACCCATTCAATAAATTATTACCAGAAAAAAATCTGTCTTCGATAATGTACGATAGCATAAACACAAATCTGGAAAATCTCCTCTACGGCCCAAAATCAATCACTTTCAATAATAATAATAATAATAATAAGAAGAAGAAGAAGAAGAAGAAGAAGAAGAAGAAATAAAAATGAAGCCAAGTCGTTGCGTAGTATTTTTCGCTACTCCTACTTGGCACCTGGAATCGATAACGCGCTCGTCGCTTACTGAACAATTTAACATTAGGAACAGTTTCTGGGTACTTATTGCGGGGGCAACTTTTGCCACTAGGGGGAGCGATGGGACGCGAATTAACTCAACAGTCGGCCCTTCGCTCAACATGGCACTGCAGTGCTGTTTTCCACAGCTGTTTAAAAGCAGGGACAAGAGAGCACATCTATCATTTGCAGCGGTCCTCATCAATATCACAAATCCTAATCGGTTTTAGTGTTTTATAAGCTTAATTATTAATAAGACCACACGATCATCCTCAAATCATAACTGTAAGTTACAATTTACAAGCACGTATTTTGGTAACTGTGGTGGCTATATTTGCATTTATCAAAATGTAGCGTAGAATTCGGTCATGTTTTTCCAGTGAAATGTAACATGCACTTTTTATAACAAATACAGGATACCAAATATGAGATGAACCTAAAATGAATCGTTTAGAATTGACATATCAATGCAACCAAAGTATCCCTAAATTTCGATTGGACCATCCCTCCATGGAGTTACGGGATTTTTAAATGCCAGACTGGACGGAGCCAAAGCACGTGACGTCACCGGCCTTAGAACTCCAAGAGGAATACTGTGAAAGTAAATGGGTGTTGCCTGTGTCCTTCCGCAGTTTTTTTTAGAGACCTAAGTCTACACGTTACGAAGCTTATCCGTTAACTTCGGGAACATCTTTAACAATAAGACAGTTTCTATGATTAAAGTGAAAATTATAAAAGATAAATATAGATAATACTTTTTTGCAAATGTGGAATCAATTTTGTTTGGATTCAACAAGGTAATTTGCGATGAGGACGGTTTGAATTGATTTAGGCTGATTTAATAATTGCCCGGTCCAGTGATTGCATTATTAATCATTTCAGTATGGCACAAACATTTTTAACTTTGTATAACAAAGCATAATTTTAAATTTTGGTAATAAAGGAATACATCACCATTTGTTACCTCTAGTGGAATTTGGCAGTACATAAAAATCTGAGAACCACAGTGCGAAATAGTACCATCATGACAAAACAATTCGTGTCAGTGTGTATTACATAGAACAATAGGAAGCTACACATATTTTTATTCATTCACAAGGAACACAATTCACACAATAAATATACTACACCTTACACACATCATAAGTAAATACATCCTGCTGAACTCACTTATACAGTACTCATCCTGGACAGGGCACGGGGCTGGGCACCTGGATGCGCTGCCAGTCCGCGGCGGGGCACGGGGCTGGGCACCTCCTGGATGGGATGCCAGTTACGCGGCGGGGCACGGGGCTGGGCACCTCCTGGATGGGATGCCAGTCCGCGGCGGGGCACGGGGCTGGGCACCTCCAGGCACTAGGTAGCCTCACTGCATGTCTTTGGACCACATGAGGGAACAGTCCCGGCTCCTAATAACTGACAAATATTGCCACAAAATAATACAACATACACAAGTTGGCGTCCTCTTAAGGACCCTCCGCAGCCTGGGTTAGGTTCTAAGTTCACCAGGCAATAATTACTCTGTTAATATTTTGTTTTCCGTTTCATGCACTTTTTGGAGTGCAGCTGCACTGAATCTAATTAACTAACTTTGTCTTTCTGTGTTTATTGCTTCTCTATGTATTTTTCCAAAATATTCACTGTATCTTTGCACTCTAAACATTAGCCTCATTCTGCTGCCTCTGGGTAAAAGGCATCTGCGGAAGAAATAAATAGAAAATCTATGTGATAATGCTTCAGCTGCACATGTAACAAAACAAAGGAATTCAATAAACAAAGGGATGTGTAAAGCGAAGAGGCTGACTTCAGCATTCATATTTAAGAGCTTCCCTCCAGAAAAAAACAGGTGCAGATTTTGTGCTGGTGCTGACATCTGACAAATTGGACCCTAAGAGTTTTTAAAGTAGCTGTGAGGAGAAGGAAAGGTAAACAAGCTAAAGGAAATGATGTGTATTTGCCGAGCTTTCCAGACGGCCGCATGCTTGCCATTGACCATGGTGTCTTTGAGGGAGGGTGAGTGTTTTCCCTGTTTGTGGGCATTAATCCTGAAAGGTCGTCTTTTACCTGTCTCCAACAATCTTAATGAATATCTGGGAAATTAAGGTTGAAAATGTGCTCTTGTCTTCTTAGAGGCGGAGCGTGTCTGGTGTCAGGTGTCATGGGGCCTTCTTGTAATTGTCATTCGGCCACAAACGTAGTGTTTTCATTTACTGGGATGACATTAAGGAAGAAAAACTGGAGATAATCCTACGGACCAAAGCAGTGTGGTCAGTACTGCTGTTATCATGTCAAACCAATTTAAGCTGTACTGTGTCAATAGATAAAATTAGGAATTAACCGTGGTGATGTTCTATAGAAATGTACTACAGAAACAAGAAAACAGTGATGTTATGGGTGTGTTTAGGCACTGAGCTTGATATTGGTGGACAACTAACAGCCATGCAAAGATGAGGTGATAACAATGAAACAAGCTAATTTTTATATTTTTTGATCATACTCCATAGATGAGAACCTGTAACCTCAGACCAAGCAATTCTGTTCTTTTAATTTTGCATTGTCAACAATCATAAAACAGCACCTACAAATATTATACACTGGGATTTAGTAAGGTGTGTTTTCTTCAGATTTATGTCTGGATGATTATTTAACACTCCGTGGTTTTTGTTGCTGAAAAATATCTATTTCAGTTAGAGATTCTCAAAAAGTCATATTCATTTTTAATATCAGCAACAGTTGTTTTAATTGATTAGAAACACAAAACAGTAGCCTATTATTCAACTGCTATAACACAATTATTCAGGATTATTCAAAATCACTAGTTATGTCTGTTAGAGTTTTATTCAGCTCCATTACTAGAGTTCGATGGCTAAATGACACTAAGCATTGTTTACTTTCCAGCCGTTTTTTAGGCATTCTGAGGCAAGATAATCTACGGGGTTGCTGTACTTTGAACCTTGATTTGTCTTGTATCCTTCATATTTAGATTCGTTTTCATTTATTTGTTTAGTAATGTTTAGTCTATGCCACGAACAATCTGACCAGAAGGCCCACGCGGTTCCCTGCCAACTCATCAAGGCTGTTTAACGACAAACACTCCTGTCACGTATAGTAGTGTGAAAAATAAAATGCATATTGGCATAAGCAGTTTGGCGGCGGGGATCCCATTCCTACGAGAACGAATTAATTCAATCTGTCGAAAACTGCGTACTATTTGCCAAGAAAATCCGGCCATGGACGCCAACCTTGCCAGTCCAATTCCGAGATTTCCCCTTGGTTATGGAACTGAAGGGCTCGGAACCGACTGCTTTCCCAGAGAATGGTGGCACAATGAGAGGAAACATATGGAGGCAGGCGTACGCTTCCCAAGACATTTATTAATAAATAAAGAAGTTCTCTTATTACTTCGCGTTCGGAAAGCTGACGGCCTTGACACGGCAATACGGAGTCGGAGTTTTAAGCCGGCGGAGGGATACGGAGCGCGGCGCTCCGCCTCCAGTCTTATTGACGCCAGGACATCTGAGAGGAGAGCGAGTGCGGAGAGTTACGGACACGGGAAAAAAAGGAAAAAAAACTACTTTATGTCCGAGATTTTTTTTTAAAATAGGGAGAAAGATTAGGGGAAGCTCTCCAGTTTCTTAAAGGTATGCGATCGTTTCAATTAATGTTGAATTTATGCGGGCTACATTACTTTGTGGATTGTGGAATTACTTCCTTTTAGTGGGTAGGTATGTTTTTTCTTAGGGGGTGGGGAGTAAAAGTGATTGAAAAAAGTTTTTTTCCCCCTTTTCTTTTTGTTCGAGGGTACAGAGGAATGTCTTCTGTTATGGCGTCTGTTGTCAAATACGTCTTTTTAAAATATATGTGGTAAAACGAAGCGTTATTCCTGGGCGTTTGAACAAAGAAGACGCAGTTAATGTCGGAGCAGATGCAGACGTTGTAGGTAAATCATGGTTACTATATTTGCTAAGTGTTGCATAGTTTGTGAGATAGTCCAGAATGAATAGGCCATCATTGTGCTCCGCCTGGGAGAGGGAAGGGGGGGAAACGCAAAAGTGGCCTTTATTGTAGAGGCAAAGCGGGGTGTTTCTAAAGCCATCCGGCTTTTTTCCTGAAGTTGTTCCGAAGTTTGCCGAGCGGTCGGCGTCCTTGTTGCGGCCGCGCGCCGGGATCGTGAGGCTCGAGCTCGCCCGGCCGCTGGTTACTTTACTTCAGTTTAACGGTCGCCGGAGCGAAGCTAAAACGGGCGGCCGGCGATCGCCTCTAAATGCAGTCCTGTCCGTTTACAGCAGCCGCGTATTTCGGGCTGCGTGGCTGATTTCGGGCGGTCAGACGTTATTAGTGTTATTGTTGTTATTATTGGATGGCGGCGAAGATGCGACCTCGGCGTAATGGCTCGGGAGTTCATGCCTCCCCGTTTTACATGGGAGGGGGTTGCTGTTGCTCGGCTCCCATTGTGCTTTCGTCCGCACCGTGGGGTTTGCGCTTGGCTGCTCGCTCGTCCGGGCCCCGTGTTTTCGAGGAACCCTTCCGCAGGCTTTTGTGTGTCTTTGCTCGTCAGTATTGACTCCTTTGCGCCGGTGTATGGATGCCCGCCAGTCGTGTGTATATCCATACGGCCACAAGATATCGGAGTGGTCAAGTTTCCCTGGTTAGTGTAGTGCTAATTAAACTCCAGTGAAGTCCTTGCAGTTTATTGTAAGACGCTTTCCTTTTAGGTAGGACTATAGTTGTATATAGGTTTCAGGGGAAACAGGTCAACTAAAAGACTCATCAGTCCTTCCAGATCTTGCCAAGAAATTAAGATTAATTTTAACTGCTAATGTATATTTGTGTGTGTGTGTGTGTGTGTGTGTGTGTGTGTGTATAAGGTTCCTATTGGACCACCCAAACCAATTAATATTGTCTTCGAACTAGTTTTGATATAGTGGTCAACTTGTTTTGTCACATGCTTTTTTTGTGCTTAAAATTCTCCACTTCCGAACCCACAGTTAACTTTTTAGTGAAAGTGCATCTGCAAGTAGTGGAGACTGACAACTTTGGCGTATGGAAAGTATCCACCCAAGAATCATCCACCCGCTACTTCTATGTACCTGTATTATCTTCACATACATTGATTAAATGGTAAATTGCGAATTTCCAAGTGCTCTAATGGGAATATGAGCGTGCTGAGTGCATAAGAGGGGATGCAGGATACCAGCTTGTACGGTGTTTGTTCTGGTGGTCATGAGGGCGATTAGACTGATAGGTAGGATGGTGTGTTTAACATTACATCACGTGGAGGCAGAATGTAACCTCACGATAGTGCTTTTCATTTGGCTGGTGGTTGACTAGGTCTACTTTTGGCTACATGGGTCATGGGGCCCATCAACAGACGACAGTGGAGGTGTGGCATGCCGGCGGGTTTTTTTTGGTTATCGCTTCCCTTTCTTCTCACCAAAGATGTGCTTGTCTCCATATGGCAGCTGCGGGTTCTTTAGTTTGTCACGTCAGCGTTACAATAAGTGAGGTGACCGCAGGGGTTGTGCGAACCTTGCCTGTAAGAGTCATAGGACAGTGGGTGACTGGGGTGTGACACGCAGACCTCGGTGGAATGCACGGGACCACATTCTGCCACCTGAGCGTGCTCAGCCAGCTGTCCTTTTTCCAGTAAGCGCTCTTACGTTCACCCTGGGACCGCAAATTGGTGCACCCCAGATGGGTCACCAGGGGGATTGGAGGGGCTGCCCTTGTGTCCCATCACACGTGAGCTCTCCTCCTGGAGATGTCCACAGAGCAAATGGTCAGCCTGCTGAGATTGACTAAGTCATTTGGTACGTGGACTGCAGTGACATCTGAGATGATGAGCTCCAGATGACTTAAGGTGAAAGCAAGCCTTTTTTTTATATATATATATATATATATATATATATATAAAAAAGATAATGTTCTGCATATACGAATTGCTGATGGATCATCCATTCATCCATACTTTTTTACCGCTTATCCTAGTCAGGGTTGCAGGGGCTGGTACAACAGTCAGATGTAATTATCTAAATCAGCATGACTAAGTCTGCTACATGAAATACACGGCTGTTTTGTATTCAGGATGAACCACGCGCAAGAGTCAAATCGAATTGGACACACTGTGCTAAATGGAATGAGTTCCCTGTAACCGATTGGATAGACTGTTCTAAATGGAGCGAGTGCTGTGTAACTGATTGGTCCATTAGATGACTCTGGTCTCCAGGGGTTATCCGCAATGAGAAGCTCTCTGTCCGTTGGAGCCCCGGGAAATCGATAGAGCGCAAGGTGGGCGCGTCCTTGTGTGACTGCAGCATCTACAGTGATGGAAAGACTGCCCTGTAGTCCTGTCTTGTGTCTGCAGTGGTTCACAGTGGGAGGTGGAAGGAAGTTCTCAAAGATGTGGAAGGGGGGGGGTGGACATGTGATTATCGGCGTGAGCGTGAATAGCTGTGCTTCTGTTGGCTGGGTAGAATTCATAGGGGTTTGCTGCAGGTGAAGAAGAGTGTTGGGGGGCCACATGCTGATGTAGGGGGGGTTTGTGCACCTGAACCAACTAGTTTGTTTTCTCTGTGTGGTGTTGACTCTTCCGCCCTCCCTTCCCACGACTGCTGTAGCTAGAACCCGGTGTCCAGCAGCCTGACCACCTCTTTGGGTGGGGGTGGGGGTGGGGGTGGGGGGTCAGCTGCTCAGAAAGCCTCTTGTTTTGAAACGGAAAATAAGACTGGGCCCCGCTACAGCCGTTTCAGCAGCCTCGCTGGTTGATGCTTGAACGTTTGAGTTGCATTCGCTGGGGACAGTTGCGGGGACATCTTGCGAACTTGGCGTGCGGCAGATGCAGGAGACCCGTATGTAACTCTGACTGACGCCCTTGGGTTTGAGTCATAACCAGTGACATTTGACATGATTCACATCATAGTGCGTGAAGAAATATAAAGTCACACAGCGGCGGGGTGTGCAATGCAGGACGATCTCGGATGGTTTATGTCCCCTCTGGTGCCACATGGCATTTTATCTGAGCTGACGCCTATTCTGTGGGTGGTCTTACCCCCCCCAGTTCATCGCCTAGCTCGTGGGCAAGGTGAAGAGGCCTGGTTTATTCCCAAGGGGTGCCATTCAGCAGTGACGGTGGTCACCGCGCAGCCAGCATAAGACAGCAGTTAGCCTCGGGTTATGAAGCCAGCTGTCCCTTTGTTTCTCTCCCGCTCTGTGTCTGTAAAAACACGCCGTTCTGTGTGCCACGAACAGGGTTTTTCCTGTGTTCGGCGTCCCCCCCCCCCAAGGTCAGTCTGTGATGGGCTTGCTCATTCCGCCCCCATGCTGCTCTGCCTGTTTCGCAGGAAAGGAGCCACCTGCTTCCTCCTCCTCGTCCTCCTTCTCCTGATGGAGGATATGAGCATTTTTTTTGGGGGTGTGAGGTCTGGAGGTGGGGGGGCCGCGGCTCTGCCTTCTTTTCCAGTTCCAAAAATGTGTCGGAGAAAGGCTGGGATGTTTGGCAGCTGCGAGCCGGTGGGGGGGGGGGGGAGCGCATTGGGATGGGGCCAGAGGAAGCCCCTCTCAACAGCCTGCAACCCCCCCCCCAAGTACACATGCAGGCGTTGCTCTCTCAGCATTTTCAACAGCTGCGCCTTGGGCTGGCTCACCACCCCACCCCGGGCGCTTCCCAGCCCTGGGTCAGCCGGCTGGTTCTAAGAGAGAGAGACACTCGTATCTCCAGCAGCTGGAGGGTCGCTGGCCATGTGTGGAGCCTGCATCTTGTGTGATGTCGTCATATTGTTTCTGAGCTGACTTGGTCTTCTGTTTCTTTTTGGTTTTTTTTTTTGTAGGTGTTCTGCACTCCTTCTGTTGGGTGAGGAGGTTTTTTTGTTTTTTTTTTGTTTGTGTTTTTTTTTTTTTTTGAATGCTCTGGAGCCATTGCGGTCACCCTCTCCGCGCACGGGCAGCCTACGCCGCCCCCCTGCCAGGCCTTGCTGTTCAGCCCTGGAGCTGCCCTTCCTGGCACAGCCATCCCACGGCAACATCCCATTCGCTCCCAGCCTTCCTGAGCACCAGCAGCTGCTTCCTGACTCGGTTTCCTGTCCTTGGTGCTGCTAGGCTACCACCAGCTCCCCTCCCCTTCCCCCCCTCCTTCTCCCCCCTCCCTGATCCCCAATACTGTCTCACCCCCACCCCACACACCGCCGCTAAGGACAGAGTGGGTCTATTGAGATCCGTCCCTTCCCCTCGTTGCTGCGACCCAGCGCTATGACCTCGATGTCCAGCCTCTTCTCCTTCACCAGCCCGGCCGTGAAGCGCCTCTTGGGCTGGAAGCAGGGCGACGAGGAGGAGAAATGGGCCGAGAAGGCGGTGGACGCCCTGGTGAAGAAGCTGAAGAAGAAGAAGGGGGCCATGGAGGACCTGGAGAAGGCCCTGAGCAGCCCGGGGCAGCCGAGCAAGTGCGTGACCATCCCGCGCTCGCTAGACGGCCGGCTGCAGGTGTCGCACCGCAAGGGCCTGCCGCACGTCATCTACTGCCGGGTATGGCGCTGGCCCGACCTGCAGTCACACCACGAGCTCAAGCCCCTGGAAGTGTGCGAGTACCCCTTCGGCTCTAAGCAGAAGGAGGTCTGCATCAACCCCTATCACTACAAGCGTGTGGAGAGCCCAGGTAGGTTGCCAACAGCAACTTAGATCCCAAATACCGTGCTGTACACCTGTAGCAGTTTTTAAAAAAAAAAAACAAAAAAAACAAAGCACTTCCTCCAAGAATATCGGTCGCTATGTTAACTTAAGCATCATTAGTATACACTGCACGCAGTTGTGCTAGATGCATTTATGTAATTGGCCAGGGGCCCAGTAAACGGCTTCTAGATCATGGTAAGCCTCTGAGGCACGATTAATATTTTTCCGCATACATTTCTTAGCTGTCGGGGGAAAGCTTTTAAAATATCGGCACGGGGTAATGGCGACTGTCAACCGGAGTTCAGGGTCCGCTATTCTTATTAGATTACAGGAGATGTCCGGCGGGATGCTTCAGATGGCAAATGGAACATTTTAAATTCGATTTCGCCAGTGATTTCTATCCATTTTCTCAATGCTTTTAGACCTTTCTCCCAAGGAGGCGGCCTGATTGTTGCTGTGGCCTTTCGCTTCCCTGCCCCTCCCCCCCCCCCGCTTTTCGCCAGCTAGCACTGGGTGGCTCGGGATCGAGGGCCTGTATCGCGTGTCGCTTGGGGAGGTGGACGTGATTCTGTCAGAGCCGGAACCCGATACGTGCTGTTGTGCTGCGTCCGTCTTCCGTTCTAAAGCTGCCACGTGACAGGGATTGAAATTCGCCATCCCCCCACCCCTCATTGTCCGCCATGTTTATTGGGTCTGAATGTAACCGGGCTGTTCTGTCTTGCTGCTTTCCCAGTGTTGCCCCCTGTGTTGGTGCCACGCCACAGTGAGTTCAACCCCCAGCACAGTCTGCTGGTGCAGTTCCGGAACCTGAGTCACAACGAACCCCACATGCCGCTCAACGCCACCTTCCCAGAGTCCTTTCAGCAACATGTCTCGCCCAACTCTCCTTACCCACCTTCCCCGGCCTCCAGCGGTACCTATCCCAGCTCCCCCGCCAGCTCTGGACCATCTAGTCCTTTCCAGCTGCCAGGTAAATGTCCATCAGTTTTGAAAATTGTTGTACAATTGGAAAAATTGTTATTTTTGTTTTGGATCTCTTGCTGAGCTCCACTATTTTGTGGAGTTCCTTATTGTTTTATTTAGCTTTTTTCCCCTTTTGCCCTGAATCTATTTGAATCTGTCACATGATGGTCTAGACAATACAGCAGCACATCACCGTTAGTATTTAGTTCTTTTTCAGCGCTGCTGCATTAGATTTGTCAGGCTGCGATTCGAAAATATTTGTTTGGGAAAAACATGTACAACTCAAGGCTGTTGTGTTTTGGAAGGCTGCTGTACCGTAAATACCTTCGTGTTAAAGATTTAATAATGCACGGACAGTGTAATGTTCTGTTTCCTTGATGTTTGGCGTGAAGCTTCGCTCGCTTTCGTCGTTAGGCAGGCTATTGGGTGTCGCACATTGAGTTTAGCGGGGATTGGCGGCGTTCGTGCTCCTGGTTACACTGAGAGCCGGTTCCCTCCTAATGGGTCGCTAGAAGCGGATGATGAACGTGTCGACTCAGCAGGCTAGCGAAGGCTCTTGCTGGTGGGCGCTCTGATCAGGAACAGAGCCCATTTCCCAGTCAGCTGATATAAGGGTTAGATGGCTATGCGGTTACCTGCTGTAGATTCTGTGCACAATTATAAATTGGCCATTAAGACCTAGACTGATTTTTTTTGTTGTCAGTTTCATACAATATATATAATATATTTTGTCTTGCAAAATAAAAATGCTGCAGGAGTGAGACACCGTGCAAAATGACCTGTCATTTTACACATGGGAAATACAGAACCCCGCCCCCTTTCTTAAGCTACAATGGACGTGTTTTTGGACCCTTAAATATTTTGATCTGTAGGGAGGGGGAGAAGCTACATGATGTTTGTCCCTAGGGCTGGGTGATGATATATCGATATTGCATCGTGCATGTGCAATAATCACCAGGCCTTCTGATGACAGGCGCAACATTTGGCCATGCGCCAGCTTTTCGGTGCTATACAGACATTTATTAAGGCAAAAAATGTAAGCAGTTTAGTAGTATGGCTAAAATATTAATGAGGCTTTGTATGACGTCCAAAAGTCATTAGGATATGCCGTATAAATACGCCATATCCTTATGTTTAATAAATGTGTCAGACTTTGAACTGCAAAAAGTACCACCACACCGCTGATGTCTTTTTACGTTGTTGATCCACAAGATCTCCTCTTTTAAAAGATGTCGTGGCTGCCCTTCTTCACCAGGACTTCAGTGCATATTGCACTGAGGTATACCAAACCGTAGTACAGTCGTCCCTCACCATTTCGCGCTTCGACTTTCGGGGCTTCACTCTATCATGGTTTTTTTTCAAATAAAAATTATTCATTAAAAAGTTGATAGACAGTGAAAATGATACAGCGCGAGCTCGGTTGTCTGAGTCAATTATACACCTCTGTATTACAATTAAAATTAAAATTACTGTACGTATGGAAGGTAAGCCTATGTATTCCAGCACCCCCGCAAATCCTTCAACGACAGGTGCAGCCGAATAATAAAGAAATATAGAATCCTACTTCATGGAAATTCATTTAACGCGGTAGAGTCTGGAACGGATTAACGATAAGCGAGGGACGACTGTATACCAAAACAGTATTATGTGGTGTGCTCCGCTAATCGAATTTAAGAAACATAAAGTTTATACAGATTACTAACTTTTGGGTATTACAAAACACATCTCATTAATATTTAAGCCATACTACTAATCTTCTTACGAAATAATGGGCGTAAATAAATGTCTGTATAGCACTGAAAAGCTGGCGTCCGGCCAAATGCTTTGTCTGTCATCTGAAGCCCTGGTGTTTATTGCACATGTGCGATATAATATCGATATATCGCCCAGCCCTACTTGTCCCCATTGCCAGCTTACATTGTATCAGTCCATGTTTTTCCATTCTTAACTGTTTGTACAAATGGAAGAGTCAAAGAAAACCGACACACATCTATCTAGAAAACACAGGAATGGTGCATTAAAAGCTTAAAATTTCTTGGGAGGGGTTCCTCACGTATAGATCTATGGCTCATCTTCCCTGGGGGGGGGAGGTGAGAGATTGTGGTGGGAGCCATTTGTCTGCAGCTGCTGCCTTTGGTCGTAAGTGGTCTCCTTGTGGTCTCTCGCCTCCAGCTGACACCCCACCCCCCGCCTACATGCCCCCTGAGGAGCAGATGGGCCAGGACAACTCCCAGTCCATGGAGACGGGGAGCAGCATGGTGCCCCAGAACATGCCCAGAGGAGGTGAGATCAGACCAAGAGCGCAAACGCAGCAGTACAGCTACTTTGATGCTGGTTGCTTAAGCATTGCCACCCCCTGTCTCCCCCCCCCCCCCCCGCCACGCAGACGTGCAGCCTGTGGAATACCAAGAGCCTGTTCACTGGTGTTCCATCGTCTACTACGAGCTGAACAACCGCGTGGGTGAGGCGTACCACGCCTCCTCCACCAGTGTGCTGGTGGACGGTTTCACCGACCCGTCCAACAACAAGAACCGCTTTTGCCTGGGTCTGCTGTCCAACGTCAACCGCAACTCCACCATCGAGAACACCCGCCGTCACATTGGCAAAGGTGCACAATCGACCTCTCGCACTCCCTGCCCCTTTCCTTTTGTACACCTGTGTTTCTGGTTATCGTGGTCGTTTAAAATATTATGTTTTGATAGTGTGTACAGCTAGGAGGTGAGGTTCAGTGCACTTTTCCCAAGAGTCTTTGCATTTGGGATTCTTAAATTGAAGCAGACACTGGCAACATTAATTATGTGGAAGATGCCACCCTTTCCTGATTTTCATGGTGTTTACCCCATCCTCCATCACGCACAGGGGTACACCTGTACTATGTAGGAGGTGAGGTCTACGCCGAGTGCTTAAGCGACACCAGCATCTTCGTGCAGAGCCGCAACTGCAACTACCACCACGGCTTCCACCCCACCACCGTCTGCAAGATCCCCAGCGGCTGCAGCCTCAAGATCTTCAACAACCAGGAGTTTGCTCAGCTGCTGGCCCAGTCAGTTAACCACGGCTTCGAGGCCGTCTACGAGCTAACCAAGATGTGCACCATCCGCATGAGCTTTGTCAAGGTAAAGCAGGCCGTTTTGGCTCATTCCTCACAGTAAAGAATTTCTGCTGCTAGAGCTAATTTAATAGCTGGCAGACCTCAAACATGCTGAGTAAAACTGTAATATGCATGAAAAAGTTTACAAATCTTGTGTATTAATACTATATGCTGTGAGTGCCTTTTACGCGTCTCATCTGTTAAATGACCATAATAAAAGGGTGGGTATATAAATTTAGACTGGCAGTGACTGATTTTTATTTGGGTCCTCAGGGCTGGGGAGCAGAGTATCACCGTCAAGATGTCACCAGCACCCCCTGCTGGATAGAAGTGCACCTGCATGGGCCCCTCCAGTGGCTAGATAAAGTACTTACACAAATGGGCTCTCCCCTAAACCCCATCTCATCTGTTTCCTAATGATGGCTTCTTCATGGGTTGGGTTTTTTTTTTATTTTTGTTTTAATTTTACAATGTTTTGAATATGAGTCTTTAAGGCTGAACTGTTTACACTACATGCAGAAGGGATCTGTCACCCTCTAGTGGCCAGAGAGGCATGTAGCAAGACTACAGGTAAATCTTGGCAGCAGAAAACTTAACACAGTGACACAGGATGGATGAACTGCCGCATCAGTAAACAAACTTATCACCGTCTGCATCTTATCAGAGCAAAACGTTAACAGATTTATTTTTTTTGCATTTGTTTTTGTATGAGCTCTATCAGTCTTTCAGTAGGTTGTTTAGTAGTTTAAAACAACTGAAATTGCATAGTTTGGGTTCATGTATCCCCCATCCTTCACCAGCCATTTTCCCCCCTTTTCTTTTATGAGAACTTTTACTTATTTTGTCTAATCCCCACTGTCAGTGGCGTAGGTGTAGTTACTGTTAGACTCAAAATCCACAACAAACTTGTGTTTTTTCCCCCTCGATCCAGTTGCTTTGAAGCAGGACACTAAATACTAAGCAATTGCTTCATTTAAATAAAGTCTCTAAAAACCACACGTTTCAGCTCCACAACATATGGTCAGTGTTTTGAAATAACTTTCACCATTTGTTCTTATACTTTAAGGTTTCTGTTCTACAATTAAATTTGGTTAGTGTGTGTCCCCCCCCCCCTTTTAAGGACTGTTACATTTTTGTAATCAAGCTGTCTATAGAACACAGTAGTATCCCATGCATTACCATAGCTCTGCAGTACAAAATTTGTTCCATGGTGATGGATGAGTTGGTGATGTGTAAATGACTTAATGCAGTATGGTAAGTCTAGAAAAGGAATATTGTGACGTCTGAACAGATATGACAGTTTCATCACAAATATGAAGTCTTTTCCCGTATGAAATGAGATTTTAAAATTCGATACCCCTGATGTTTAAGAATTCTTTTTAAAATGCTGTATGTTGGATTACATTTCAAATTTGATAGTTAAAACACATTGCTACAAGTTCAGCTGAATTATTAAGTACCTATCATTCCATCTTAAACGTGTGTCGAATACCCAACACCAGCAAGGCTGGGCCTAATTAGCATTTTATTGACAATGTGTGTATTTAGCCTCCGCACAGTATAACAATGCCATGCACAGGCCTGTTTTTTTTCGTCCTTTTTAACACAGCAAGTGACGGCACGTGATTACATTAGACCGGTGTTTCTCGATCCAGTACTCGGGGACCCACCGGCAGTCTGTCTTTGCTCCCTCCCAGCTCCCTGTAGGGACCTAGGAAACTCTGGACTGTGTGGGAGTCGCCGAGGACCGGCATAAGAAACACTGCCTTAGACTGTGTTGTTCCTGGTACCGCGAATCACTTTTTAAAGCCTGGAAGTAGAGCGTAATGTTGAAATCCCTGGAAGGGGTCTATAATTCATTGTATTATCTGCTTTTGTTTACTTTGAAATAAAATCGAACTGGCGTCTAAAACCGTGGCCATGTACTTCGGTTATCCAAGTGCACTGCATAACTAAAACTGCTTTGACCTTTGTTATAATGTCGCATATAGTAAATCTTGTAAATGATGTAGTCTACCAGGCCCAAAAACAATACATGCCAATCAGTGGGGATTGTCATTGTAATAATCAGACTGAAACTCCGTGAATACAATTTCGATTCGTTGATCTGGTATTGCAAGTTCTATTGCGTTGCTTTGAGCGGTCTCATTAAAACCGCCGAGGCGGTCTGTTTAGTTTGACCCTGGAAACTAACGGTTCACACTACGATTCTAGGGAATAAAATGAGTTTGTAACCTTAACTGGTCGTCCATATGTCGTTGAGGATGTGCATTGAGTACCAACGCAGTGCATCCCAAAATACTTCAGTTATTTCCCAAAGGTTTCCATGATGCAAGATGAACTCGGCACTACTGGAGAGAAACATCAAGAAAGTCTGCGCCCGTAAATATGGACTAAATTGGTCAGACAATGGCACAGGGATGATCATGTGATGGAAAATGTGTTTTGTTATAAAAGTATGAAATAAATTCCATTTCAAGTGCATTAATTTTTCTTTATTTGGACTCGACTTACACGTTACTTTCTTGACTGATCCACGTCAAAGGTATTGTCTTTAATCCAATTTCCCCATGACCTGACACTTAAAGCGCCTTTCTTCCACGCGACGCTGATTTCCGCTTTGTATTTCTCGCAGGAAACTTGCCAGCGTCTAATTGGCTGAAATATTATCTGCGCAAAACGTATTCGCCTCTTACCGTAATTTCTAATTTAAAAGCGACGGTTATTTTCTGATGGCGGATTCAGGGATGAAAGCAGAGAACATGTACAGTTTTGCTCGCTTGCTGTTTTTGGAGATTTATAATTTCACAAACGAACATAATACAACTCCTATTAAGCGAGAAATGTTAAGATCACAAACATCCTTAAATGTTAATAATAAAACCAGAGACTGATATCAAATGTGTTATTGGCGCGTTTCCATTTGCACAGTACTTGAGGTCTCATTCAGAGGGCAGAGGTAAAACAGTGCGTTCTTAGGTTTATATTTACGGTATTTGAGTATTTGCGTCCGCTCGACCCTATTACGTTTCGACACGGATTCGAAATTTTGTAGTGCCTTGGAGGGGTGGGGCTTGCACAAAAAATAAGAGTTCAGTTTTTCTCTGTTTAACTTATACGATATGAAACTATTACAGCGGTCTTTTAAAACCCACTCGCATCTATAGCGAGAGAATGGCATTGCGTACATTTGGCTGTTAACAACTTTGATTTTGTTTGAAATTTACAAGCAGCCACTTTGCAAACTTGGGCTGCACTGGGGTTGAGCCGAGCGGGGGTGACTTGGATCGTCTTCAAAACACGCAGGTGAAATATATTGCATTTACCACGATAGTTTTTAGTTAATGTGAAGTAGATTTATTTTCTAAATATTTCAATATCCTTTTAAATCCTTTAAATAAAGAAAAACGTATAATGACTACGTAAGGAGAAATGTAATCACCACTAAAAATGGTTGGTTTGCGCCGCACCGGAAGTGAGTTGTCCGTTCTTTACTGAGTACCTCTATCGAAAAATAAACACGTCCACGAAAGTACCGAAAGACTTCATAATAATTTCACACAACAGGCACAGAAAAACTGGATGAAGTGAAAATTGCTGCACGCAGAGAAGTCGCCTTTGAGGGAGGCGTCACATTTTCCGGTTGTGCCACGCCGACTTTCACACCGTCGGGGTGACGTCGGGCCTAAGCCGGACAGCTAAAGCTCCGTCGGCGGCAGAGATTGGTAAGTCGGTCCCTGTCCCGGTTCTGGCACTAGATCAGCGACACAGGTTCCTGACCCGCACAAACGTATAACACTTTACTGGACACTGTTTAATATGGCATTTCCTCGTGATGCCATGATACGGGAACAAAACGTTAGTTACACTTTGTTGAATAATTGTATCATGTTTGTTATGTCATTAACCATGAGTCACTAGCCAACTAGTTTATGTGGTTAGCCAAGGGGCCGTATAAATGTAGTTACCCACAAACGCGGTGTCTGCGCTGTTTTTGTCTTTTTAACCTGCAAGGTAAACCCGATGACAGATTAAGGTGTTGCACCATAGACAAGGACATTGCAGTATACGCGCTGAAGAATTATTTTACCGTGTTTTTTTTTTTTACTATATATTTACATTTCTTAATTGTTAGGTAATATGTGTATCTTTGTATATGATTCCATCTGTGCTGTAGTTGAAACCCAAAGACGCGACGAACGAGTTGAAGGTGTTGCAGGATAAAATGGAGACGCCGTTGAAGGAGTCAAACCTGGCATTTATTTTGTGTTAAACGTGAATGCATGCTGATTTTAATAAATTGATAATTACGATGACTAATACGGCATATTGTTGGTGTCGTCAGTATTGTATGATCAGTCAGGGGCGCAGGCGGGGCCTGGAATCGCTAACAGATTCAGGGGGTCCAGCACTTTACTGGGACCTTTGAATATGTAAAATTACAAAATTATGTAATGTAAGGGGTGCCCAAGGTGACATTTTGCTAGGGGCCCCAGAATGTCCAGTGACACCCCTGTGGTCAGTTATCTTTGAAGGCATGTCTTTAGAAAATGTTAGTGACTTAATAAGTGTGTAGCCCTAGGCAGAACGTCTGCTGTGTGTTAACAGTCATCATGGTGAGAGGAAAACATTTCACAAACATATTCTTAAACTTCCATGTTTTTTTTCCAACAGGAGGAGTACACCATGGTTCGAGTGGCCCTGGTAACGGCTACCAGCCTGGTCCTCACTGGGGCTGTGATTGCACACGCTTACTACCTGAAACACCAGTTTTATCCCACTGTTGTCTACCTCACCAAGAGCAGCCCCAGTATGGCGGTGAGTGTGGTGCAGACCTACCGTGAACCTCGTTAAATGTGTAGTGGAGATGCAGGTACAACCTTTAAAATACGGATCTCGAGCTATCGCACAGAAGACCGGTGATCTGACCTGTGATCTGCAGGTTTCTTATGCTTGCAGATTACACCACCTTGTATCTGAATCTGCTAGATGCTTAATGCTTGTTCCCCCCTGGCTCTGTGTGAGTTATGCTGACGGCTGCTTTGTCTGGCCATATTTCAAACTGGGATTGTTGTTTTCGTGTTGAAGTTAGGTTGGACACAAAGGACGTGATGTAGCAGCATTGGAACAGAGATTGTGACACCTAAACATGCAAATTATTTATGGAGATGAGTGCTACTTTCTGGGGCTTGAAGGTCAGATCTTCCATGGTTTGGTTGGTTTGTGGTCCCTTGTACAAATAAGCAGATCAAGCGTGAGATGGTACCATGCTTCTCCACACGGCCCCCATTAATATGTGTTTGTCACATTGTCTTTAAGTACCTCTTTGGAATGCTGACCAGTCACACTTGGACTGATCCTACTTTCCTTTGACCATGGCACCACAATGAAACGTTTTAGCATTAAATATGTGACTGAGCCGTGGTTAATGCTTGTAGCCTATTATTACAGCCTCTCTTGCTTTGCTCTGTTGTCCTCAATCAGGTACTGTACATCCAGGCATTTGTGCTCGTTTTTCTGCTGGGGAAATTCATGCGTAAGGTGTTCTTTGGACAGCTACGAGCCGCTGAGATGGAGGTGTGTCCCACTGCCGTGTCTCGTCACGGTATTCGTACGCTTATCTGGAAATGTAGCGTTTGTAACAGATGTTAATGCTACTACCTTATCAGAATCGCCTATTTTGAGAAATTTTACATTGCTTGCCTTCGTGTGTATTGTTGCATTTGTATTGACATCAGTCTTAACCGTTTCACGTCTGCCTTGTTCCCGCCGCCATCAGCATCTGATAGAGCGCTCCTGGTACGCCGTCACGGAGACCTGCCTGGCCTTCACGGTGTTCCGCGACGATTTCTCTCCACGCTTCGTGGCGCTCTTCACCCTGCTGCTCTTCCTGAAGTGCTTCCATTGGCTGGCTGAGGACAGGGTGGACTTTGTGAGTGGCTGAGCTGGGGTGTGGGAGTGGCCATCTAGGGGTGGGGGAGGGGGATGGGGATTTGTGTAAGCTAAGGTCCGCAATTCTGAATGAGTGTGTCTTTCCTCAGATGGAGAGGAGTCCAAATATCTCCTGGATCTTTCATTTCAGAGTACTCTGTGAGTTGTTTCTTATGAATTCATACGTACTCTGTGAGTAGTTTCTTATATGATTTCATAATCATGTGAAAAGACACTGCTTCTCAAAGTTTGGTGATTAACTGTGAATGTTCTGGCTGATAACCTGTTGCTGTAAATACGGTGACTTCCTTTTGTTCCTCATATTACCGGAAGTCCCAGGTCTTTATTTAAACAGGAATGCAAATCCTCAGGCTGTGGTAGCTTTGAGCGTCATGGGCCAGTGCCCCAGGGCAGGACGTTAGCACAGTGCCGCACGACGTGCTCCGCCGTGTCTCACTCTCAGCTCTCTGCTTTGCTCCGCAGCCCTAATGGCGCTGCTCGGCGTCTTGGACTTCCTGTTTGTTAACCACGCCTGTCACAGCATCATCACGCGCGGCGCCTCAGTCCAGTTGGTCTTTGGCTTCGAGGTGAGCGTGACCCCCTCACGGGATAAGCATCTTGTAAGGTACATTTATTTGGCAGATGCTTTTAAAAGGCAGGCTCTGACGGTCCCATGAAGGGTATAAGGCTTTGCCCAAGGACCTAACGGTAAAATCAGCCTGCCGATCCTTGGATTTGAACAGGCATTTACAGGTGCAGTGTCCTAACCTGTGGAGCCCCCCCTTCATCCCCATGTTTGTATTTTGGGGTTCTCTTCATACCCGAGAACACAACTGGGTATACAGCCATTCCTGTTTTAGCAGCTACCTCAGTTAGCGACCATTCGCTAATACGACGGTAATAAAAATTCATTTTCCGACCAACATGCATTCGTGACCAAATTTCATACGCCTGACCACAGCTCACAATGGAGTGAGAGATATCTTTGCAGAAGGATGTGCAAAATGTCGCTGTTAAAGGATAAAAGATTGAGCATGGAAGGTTGAAGTAATGTCGTAAGCACAGTCGTGGTCACGCTTAGGCGACTGTGATTTTAACGAAGTGACCAATGTCCTTAATGACCTGGTCATTGTAATGGAACTTGTTTGCTACACGAGGAGTAGTTGTATTAAGTCTAATAATGTGATTTTTGTGTCTTTGAATTAATGTGTTCATTAATATGGTGTTTTTTTTTTTTAATCAGTATGCCATTCTGCTTACGATGGTCCTGACCACCTTCATCAAGTACACGCTGCACACCATCGACCTTCAGAGCGAAAATCCCTGGGACAACAAGGCGGTCTACATGCTCTACACGGAGCTCTTCACCGGTACCTTGTCACGTCCTCCCGTCATTCGGGGCCGTCGCGTTTGTGAAGCTCAGTTCACGTTCTCAACGAAGCCTCCATCTCTCCAGGTTTCATCAAGGTGCTGCTCTACATGGCTTTCATGACCATTATGATCAAGGTGCATACCTTCCCCCTCTTCGCCATCCGGCCCATGTACTTGGCCATGAGGTGAGTGACGTCATCCTCTGGGTGGTCATGTGATCAGCCCCAGCCCCCTTCCCATGTGGTCTCTGATCTTATAACTGTTTTTTCTCGCATCTCCTTACAGGCAGTTTAAGAAGGCCGTAACCGACGCCATCATGTCTCGGCGAGCCATCCGTAACATGAACACTCTGTGAGTATGAGATGGCCGTCATCTTCACGTCGCGCTTGCTTTTGGGGGTCGCAGAGGTAGAACGTCTACCCGACCCTGGTGTGTGTAGCTATTTCTGCTGGATCTCCTGACGTTCCTAAGCTGGCTGACTGATACAGTCCCTCTAGCGTGTCCTGGATCTGAGGAAGAATGTGGTGCGGCATTACCAGGCTTTCTGAGGACTTGCACTGACATAGTGAAAGACGCTGACATGTGTGGTTATGAATAGCATTAGTGTGTCCGCTCCCCTGTGGTACGCGTGTACTGATTCTCCATCTTGTGCTGACGCGTTAATGAGGTCAGTGACTGACAAGGGCCTCACTATGATTCTGTGTTAATTCCCCTTTTCCCGTAGGTTTGAGATTACGTTTGCCACATCCACAACGTTATTCCTACATCTTCATCAGTACTACGCTGTTCTCTGTAAACTAGAGTGTTTATGTACTTTATAGTGCTTTACTTGAATTCAGAGGGGTATCACCGACTTTTTTTTTTGCCATGTGTGTATCTCTGTCTTTCTGTGTTTAGTGGATTGTGGCTTTTACACTCACAAAAAATCTCCCCCCAATTAAGGTACCCTGATGCCACGCCTGAGGATCTACAGGCCACTGACAACGTCTGTATCATCTGCCGGGAGGAGATGGTGACTGGGGCCAAGAAGCTGCCCTGCAATCATATCTTCCACTCCAGGTGAGGCAGGCTTGCAGTGTCATGCTCAGCTGAGGTGTGTACCTCTGTCCTGTATTCTGGGCTCACCTTTAAATAAATGCGAGTTGCATTTTAAACTCTTGGAGGATATATCTTTCCTGCTGTTTTTTTTCTGTAAAATACTTGTGTGTTGCTGTAGTAATATCTAAAGCTGATTGGTTATGTAACCCTGCATGTTACGGGTCATGTTTTAAATACTTGTTGGCAACATTTATCGCATTTAGACATTTATTTTCCTCGTCTTAGACGATTAGCCCTGTTTCATGTCTGCGTTGGATGTGCTTGGGATTCTAACTGATCCGCTGGCCATCACCCCATCCTGTCAGCGGCATAATCCTGCCTTATCCTCTTGCCGTAGCTGCCTTCGCTCATGGTTCCAGAGGCAGCAGACCTGCCCCACCTGTCGCATGGACGTGCTCCGTGCATCTCTGCCCAATCAGGCGCCGACCCAGCCTCCCGCCCCACCTGCTGCCCCGCCCCCACCGGCTGACCAGCCAGTCCCACCACCAGGTACGAGCACCTCGGCGAGATCTTCTGCACAGTGATTGGTGTATGGAGTTCGGTAGAAGAAAATAGTTTGTACGTTAATCCACAGACTTCGTAGTAAGTAGTTTATGTTGAGTAACCAGGTCATGATTTCTGGTAAGAGACTGTGTTGAATTTTTCTGATGTATTTTTTTTTAGTGCCATTATATTCGAGAGTAGCCGACATTTCTCCGGCCAATTATCTCCAAAACTAGGCAACTCCCAGGAGAATAACCTAAATGGATAGATAGCACTTCCAGTTTTGGGGTGAACTGCCCCTCTTAAGGCCCAGTAAATGTACACTGATTGACTAAGCCTCACACCTTTTGCTGAAGAGGTTCTGAATACGAACAGCATGGTCTCTCCCCTTCAGTGCCTCCCGGAATGGTGCCCCCCTTCCCTCCCGGCCTCTTCCCCTTCTGGGGCCCCTTTCCTGGTGCAGTGCCCCCAGCGGTGGCTCCGGTGCCCCCGACGCAGACGGACTCCCCCCAGCCAGGGTCCGAGGTCTCCCAGGGAGCTGGTGAGTAAACCTCTGTGGGCTGTGAGATGCTGATCCACTCCACAAATGCCCCGGAGGCAGAGGAGCGATGATGCTGTCTGAGATACGAAGCCTCCGACCCACAGGGCGATGAGTCGCGTGCTAGATCTGCCTCTTTTGTCGATCCTGGTGCTAAATCAACGACTAGCTTAGCAGGCCCGAGTCTGTAGCTTTGAGTGGCTCCTAATGAGGCTTCTCACCCCGGTGCAGTAAGAGGGACTCGCCCTGCCGGTGAGTGGGCAGGGGCCCGGCCCAGCGAGGGCATCGTTTGGCAATGTGTGCCATCGCCTTTCGCATGACATCAGTGCTCACATGTGACATCACGTCCTTCTGTGTTTTTAGGCAGCAGTCAGTCCAGCCAGCCTGGCCCCGACGGAGTCCCTCCCGCTCCCGGAGCTGCTATCCCAGGATTCCCCTTCACCTTCCCACCACCGCTGCCCTCCGCCCCCTGGCTGGCCATGCCCCCACCCCCACCTTTCGGTAGGTCTGCCAAGCGGGGACCCCTCCCACCTCGCCGTGCTTCTCCGATGCACTCGGAGCATTTCCTAAACATGATCATCAAATAATCGCAATTCATCCGCTTCTCGTCCGTCTGCAGTGTCGTCCATGCCCCCCCCCCCAGCTTCGCTGTCCAGCCTATCTGAAGCGGAGCTGCAGGAGCTGGAGCAGGAGGGCCGACGCGGCCTGGAGGCCCGACTCCAGTGCCTGCAGAATATCCACACGCTGCTGGACGCAGCCATGCTTAACATCCACCACTACCTCAGCACGGTGGCTACACTAAGGTATCGTTTTCATCAGAGCCGGCCCCCGCAAAGTGCCCTCCAGCACAGCCGTCGTGTGTTGACCGTCGTGTCCCAACCTTTTGACTGGTTTGTTGTACAGAAATTCCACTCGTCAGTAAAATGGCTGGGGGGGGGATCACAGAATCAAACTGATCAGTGATTTCATAAGTTCAGCGGTTGTTACTTTTCTGTCTAGATGTAAGAGCATGTGAGCGTTAGGGGTCGTAAAAAATTGAAACTATATGGTTTATATTTGAAATCTATCACCCTTCCACAAAACTCCCAGTGTTCCGAAGCTCGGGGAATACTGGCATAGACTGGTACCGGTCTGGTGACCTAGAGTTGGGTGTATTGTTAGTGTGAAATGTCAGTCAGTATCAGAGCCAGTCCTCTATAACGCGGCTCACGGCGGCTGCCTTGTGTCCCGTCAGCCCTCCCCGGTCGGAAACGGCCGGTGCTCAGGCGGCCACGGCGGATGGAGCTGCAGCAACTTCCCCGGCGGACGGGGCTGCAGCAGCTTCCACGGCGGACGGAGCTGCAGCAGCTTCCACGGCGGACGGGGCTGCAGCAGCTTCCCCGGCGGACGGGGCTGCAGCAGCTTCCACGGCGGACGGAGCTGCAGCAGCTTCCACGGCGGACGGGGCTGCAGCAGCTTCCACGGCGGACGGGGCTGCAGCAGCTTCCACGGCAGACAGCATGGAGGACGGGACCCCAGCGGTTAACCCTCAGACAGGTGAGTGGTCCCTGCACAGAACAGCACGCCGGGGACCCAGCCTGCTGCTTTTTTTTCCCTGGTTAACTCTACGTCTCTCGCTCTCCCTCGCTCTCTCTCGCCTCCCCCAGGTGAGACCGTTAACGGCGCCACAGGCTTCTCCCCCGCTGACTCCACCACCCAGGAGGAGGTGCTGGAGGAGGACGGCGAACCTAACGCCGCCGAACTGAGAAGGCGGCGTCTGCGCAAGCTGGATACGGCTGCCCCCTCCGAGCAATGATGGCCAGCTGTCAGCCCCCCGGACCCCCCACCCCCAACAACCCTGCCCAGTGGACCCCCTGACTCGTACACCTGTCAACTCAACAGGGACCGGATGGTACAAGATGAATGGCATCCCTCCCCTGCTCAACAGCAAGCTGACTGTCCCTCCCTCTCACACGTACACACAACACGGCAGACATTTGGGAGCCGCTGTCCAGTTGGGACAGTGACTGATTCTCAATGACAGCTTTGTGTCACTTGAAAATAAATCACTGCTCTGAATTGAGCCCCCCCCCCCAGTAAATACTTTCTCTCCTAACAGGCTGTGTGTACTTCTGCCCTCCTGCTCCCCCCAGTTGCACACTTTGATCGCGATGACCGGTCCAGGTTCAAAAAAAGAATTTTTATTTTTTTAAATTCCTACGTGTGCCTGGTTTGCATTTTGACAGGCGGTGAAAGACAGTGATGTTTTTCTATCCAGTTCTCCGGATCTCTTGATGTCTCTCAATCTATACATTTAATTTTTTTTTTAAACGGCCTGGTCTGTTCCCTCTCCTTTTGTCAGTCGGTAGCCTGGAGACCAGCGGCAAAGAATGTTTAGCTTAGCAATGCGGGTCTCACCCCAAATACTCTGCTCACGTTGATGGACTGAGATTTGCAGATGGCCGGTTTCTTACTACTTTTCATTTTTCTTCAGCGCTTGGAAAGATGACGCGCAATGAGAACAGTGGAGGGCTAATTTAAGTTGTACATAGTGTATAAAGAGTTTTAATAGGAGGTTCTGTACATATACAAAAATAAACCATTCTGAGGAAGTCTTCTGTGTCTAACATTTTCTTTAAATCAGTTAGCGGTGGGGGTCTTAATTCTTTTGCAGACCTTGCTGCTCTGAAGAAAAAAGGTCAGTTACAGAAGGGCAATTTAATAAATCAGTATCGTCTTGTAAATTATACAGTGAATGTGGCTGTTAGATTGGTCACCACCCAGTCACATGACTGAGAACCTGGGACATAATTAGGAAGGTGAGGTGTATTGATCAAGATAAAATCTCAAGGTTTCACACTTGTTTAAATATATGTAGAAAATAAAAAATTGTATAAAGTGTATGAATTAAATCTCAAATGTTTTATTATGGAAATTTTATATACAAAATGAATTCCATAGTCATTCTATAAGCCCCACAGGGGATAATATTCCCTTCAAAAAGATGTTTATAATATAGATACATATTCTTCCCTAAATGTCTAGCACTTGCCTCACTAGCACCACCCGTGAGCACCACTCAGAGCATCAATGATCAATTGAGCTTGTGGGTATTCAGGCTGCCACCATTTTTGGGATCATGCAACTGGAGTGAATTGTCATGTTGACAGTTTGGGCCCCCAACTACACACTAAGCTAAGCAGGAACTTCTGATAGTGTCAAAGTCTACTTTTAAAAGGCTAATCCCAGCATGACCATGCGTGAAGAAAAGCTGATGTATCCGGTGGATTTTTTTTCCTCCATTCTGGGGTAAGGATGCATTTTGCTACCCAGTATCATGTCATTTTAGGGCTCCTGTACAGGCCAGTGGACCACAAGGTTATTCTGAAATGCAAATGTACTCTTCGTTCGGAGGAAAGGAGTGTGGAGGTGAGAGAGCCAAGACAGGCGACAGGTCAGGATACAGATGAGGGCTAATTGGCCGGAAGGGGTGCCAAACTGCATCTTCACGAGTGGTCAGCTCTGCGGAGTGGAGTACAAGGTATGATGCTGATTGGTCTGGTGCAGGTTCTTGGCGAAGAGGAGGGGCGCCGTCTCGCTGCGGCCAAACCAGCTGCCAAGAAAGGCGTGACAGATTAGCCTGCGGTAGAAGCAGGCGCTTCGGATGTTCGACCGCGAAAGCAGCCGGTCAGACATGCCAGGGAAACGCGAAGCCAGGCAGAGTCACCTGTTTTGCGGATGTGCGCTGTGGAGCCAGGGGGTGCCTGGGTCACCCTCGATTCCCCGAGGGTCGTCAAAGAAGTAGGAGCGGGAGCCTCGATTGACTGGGGTGGTGACGTGGCCCTGTGGGGGGGGGGGGTTATGGTTAGACAGGCATCATATACAGGGCCGATCTGCTGACAGAGGCGTGGTCTGCAGCACTGACCGTCTCCTGAGGGACCTGGCGGACCCTGAAGATGAGAATGAGCAGACTGGTGGGCAACAACTCCCACACGACGAGGATCACCCCAAACACCAGGTAGCCTGCGTCTCCCAGGTCGTTGTGCAGGTCAGCCTGATGGGACAGACATGTGGAAGGTTTGGCCACAACCTCTATTCAGACACTGACAGTAGGTTACAGCTGTAGGTCTGGGCAATACAGGGTATCTGCCCGTTTCCCTCTCCCAAGATCTTTAGTCATTTAAATACAGCACATTTTGGCAAGCTCAAATATATAATATTCCTCAATTGTATAATTCATTGACTTCACATGCTGTTGCATACCTGGTCAGAGATGTTGTACCAATTGTAGTCAAAAGCCTCAACCTGATGGTCCCTGGACAATACGAGCACAGCCAGGTTGTAGCATGCCCTACTGGAGAACAGCAGTATTACGCCGGCGCCAAGCACTGCAGTTCGGCACACGGTAATACCCTGAGAAGAAGGGAGGGGAGTCGGCACATTAAACACAATTCACTGATCCTCTTCTGCAAAACCCAAAAATCTCTGTCATCCTGGTGGCAAAGTGAATTACTTACATGTATAACAACAGTTTAAAGAATTTCTGAAAACGAGTTTCAGCTGAAAGACCTTTTTTGTGACAATTATTAGCATGTTAAAGTATAGATTTCAATCGTCTCCATAAAAAGCATGCTATTGTTCCCTACTTTGCCACACATTTCTGTAATACTCAGCCTCGGCACAATGTTAGCACACGTAACTGAATGGTTCCAACTAAGGCTGCGTGATATCAAATCACGGTTATATGGCACATGGACAGTAATCACCAGGGCTTTAGGTGACGAGCGTAAACACTTATCCGCATGCCACCTTTCATGAGAGGCATATTGTGACACCCAGAAATTTGAAATCTGTATGAATTCGGCGTATCATTATGTTTAATAAACATATTGGGGAAAAAAAAAACACCAGAAGACCATAGAAGCCTTGTACTCGTTTATCCACAATATCTCCCTTTTCAAACGATGTTGTGGCTACTGAGCTGTCCCTTTCTTCACCGCCACCTCACTGTTTATTGCTTCCATCATATATCAAAACAGTAGCATGTGGCGTGGTCCACTAACCGAATTCAATAAACATAAGGATATGCCAAATTTATACAGATTACTAAATTGTGGGCTTCACAATATGTCACTCATTAATATTTTAGATATTTATAATGGGGGCTTTTGGGAAACATATCCTTAAATAGGACCCTCTTAGCCAACAAGTAATAAATAACCTTACAATAATGGCTGCCAGTATTTGTTCTTTCGGCTTGAGGACCTCACCTTGCTGTGCAGGTACGGGCTGGTAGAGGGCGCCATGCGCGTCAGCTGAAGCAGGAGCACCGCCATGGAGACGGCCTCCAGGATGAAGAGCAGGTCGTTGACCAGCACGCGGAGCAACACCAGCCTCCAGGCTCCGCCTCCCGCCGTACCACCATTGCGCTCACCCAGACTGGCGCATGCCACGTTGACACACAGGAAGAGCAGGCTCATGCCTCCGTAGGCCCAACGCGCCGCGCGTCTGGGAGAAAGAGCAGGGTCACAGTGATTGGACGAAGGGCTATGGCCCCACCCCATGCAAAATGCATGCTTTCCTGTACAGCATTTAAAAAAAAAACTGTACGGAAGTGATGTCACTTTCAGACATTTTGTGTGCATGTGGGTTGGTAAGCACATCTAAACAAACACTTACAGTCCTCTGCTTGGCTCAGAGCTAAATTTCTCCTTTACTTTCAGCAAAACCTGCAGAGAGAAGAAGTTAAGAAACTCAAGTGTTTCCTACCCCTTTTTTAAACTCAGCTTCCATAAACTCAATTTTGTATAAATAAGGTCAGTGTTTTCACCACATTCTTTTCCGGGAAGGAAAAGTGGTGGTGAAAATGGTTTCTAGGTTCCACCTAATTATCTGAAATGTTCATCTACAGATGGAAATTCACTGATCCCCATATCAGGTGAAAACGGTATAGGCCCAGATAATCAGACATATACTTTCCCAAAGTAATTTTGGCCTTATGTTGCCCAAAACCCTCCAAATACATTCACATTATTTGTTGCTTTCCTCCACCGAACACCACACAAGCCTGGGCAAGTCGTTCTCATGGGACCTAACCACACTGAGGTCGATCTTCATTTTCTGTTCCACATCATGTGCAATCAACTATTTCATGAAAGACACTGAACATGCATTTCAAAGCTGAATTGAAATTTAAAAATAAAAAATAAACAGGGAGGAGATTAATATTACAGCAACATAATGTACGAAACCACATTCAGAGAAGCATCACCTGAAATAAAAACCGGTGGAACCAGCCACAAATCTAATGCGTAGCTCTGCAATATCTAGGAAGGACCAGGCCCCACAGCCGGGGAATCACCCTGAGAAATGGCCCAGGACCCAGAGATCCTCACCTGGGTGAAGTATAGGTTGATGAGACTGAGGGTGAAGAACTGCAGGCAGACGGGACAGCAGTAGAGCAGCCAGTAGGCTGGCTTGGACAGGTGGTTGGCAGCCACAGCGTTGTGGAAGTAGAAGGAGAACAGGGTGGTGCGGAGGGCGGCCCAGAACAGACACAGGAAGAGGAAGACGCTCTGGTAACTCCAGCGCTTGTGTCGGTAGAGAAGCAGGAGCCATAGCTGGATGTAGACCACCAGAAACAGGCAGCCATACAGGCAGGTGTAGAGAACAGTGACCCCTAGCTGCACAGAGGGAGCCACTGCAGGGCGGAGGGGCGAAGGAGTCGGCATGGGACCGCTGGTGGTCATAGCACCGCTGGTCACCTGGACATCTACTGAGGTGGTTCACAAGAATGAGGTTCGCAAGTGACGGTGTGTCACAAGCGCTAATGACAAATTCCTCTTCCCCTTACTTGGTAAATCTATTTTAAATGGCCGGTTCTTACTTCCCAGTTTATTCTCAGAAGTTCTGCAGAAGATCTAAGATGGCAGCAAAGCCTGGCAGCTTTTTAATGCCATCAGTGAGCCGCTGTGCTCCTGCCACGTTTTTTTTTCCAGGTCACTTAAAATGCTGGGATGTAAAAAGCTGGAATGGTGTCCTATATTTCTCTGCCTGTTATAACACTGTGAGAGTTCTGACGTGGCCTGTCGTTTTGTGTGAATCCGTACAAAAGGCCTGCATTGTGGCATTAATACAGTCAGTTAGTTAATTAGATAGTCAGTTAATCCGCAGGGAGGAAAAACAGCCTTCAGCCTTCCCGCGGGGAATGTCGTCAAACTTGGTACTTCTTAGAAGTTCACTCTCGATCCTTACGGCGTTTTCTACCTAGATGAAAAAAGTAAACAGTATAATATATCATTATAAACCTGCAAAGAAAATGTACCGTGAATAGAGTAGCTACGACGTCACCGATAGCATCGTAGCTAATAATCTAGATCAAAAGTGAAACTTCTAAGCGAACAGCGAAACAAAAACTATGAAAAACACTTCAGCAAACCGTAGAGATTGTAATACATCTACTTCATGTTGCAGAAAAACAGAATCAAGAAAAGGGACGCAATCATGGACCAGGATGATACACTTTCGAAATGGAAGAAATCCTACCACCATCTAACAAGACACAGCGAGATAACAGACTATAAAAAAGTTACTTACACTGAGAAACAGTCATGCCGAGTTAAAATAAAATAAAATTAAATTAAATATGGACACAAAAGCCGATCTAACTAGCGAAGTGGCTAACACTAGCTAACAACCAAAACCAGGACGCAGGCGCCGAGATTCCAGCTTCAGGACAACAATGGTAGTTTATTACCAGTGTCTCTCCGTCCTAATTCCTTCCCCAACCAAGAACCAAACCTATGGACATCCGCATCGCTCACGAAACTCACTGGGTACGTCCCGGCATGTCAGAGAGCGCTGGGTCCGGTGCGTCCGATCCGGGTCCGAGGCGACGGCAAACGGCTTTGTATCACGGACGCCCCGCGGCCAGTGTTTTGACAGGTCGCGCGGTACTGCGCACGCGCACTGCGCAATATGTTTTCGGGGGATAAACATGCTACGGTGGGACATGTGAGGGGCGGATTATAACTTTACAGAGAAGAGATAGACACAATCCGTCTTTATCACCCACAGTGACTCTTTATTGTCTAACCAAAGCTAAAAAAGGACACTAGCTGATATACTGTAGGCCAACTGCGTCGCTATCAAAAGGGTTACTTCCCACTGACTGTAAACTTTATGTATTATTAAGCGTGTGTGCGCGTTATTCTATATATTGTAAAAACAAGGAAAATAAAAGAATTATATTTCTACAAATAATTGATGATAAATTTCAGGCTCACTGTCTACATTTTTAAATGTGCTAGATATTTTGTTAATTTTTATCTTTTTAGCTGTTGTAATTCAAGCATTGTCTGCCCAACATAATTCATTACAACGGCAAAGCCAACACTTTTCATATTAAAAGGTTGAAATATTTTCTGAGAACCCGTGATATTATAACTTACTTAGAAACCACTCGCCATAGATCAAACAGACAGTCGCTCGATTTACCGTCAGCGCATTCATAGTGAAACCACAAACATCACTGTCCAGCCACTGTCAAATTACCTATTAACCCAAGAGCCTAAGAATAATACAACCTTACGACAATCCATATTTTTAAATCCATCCAATCGAAGCTGACACTAAATAACAACTCTAAGAAATGAATCAATGCTGAAGTGAAGCTAGATATGATCAGACCTTTCATTACAGTTTTTAGGAACAAGAAAATTATCGTTATACAAGTCACAAAAATAAACACATTTTATGATTACCTAAAGATGAAATGTGTTCACTCTGGCAATCAGAATCTGAGTTGAAATTTGATACAATTGTCAACGTAGACCTTGAAGATGGCTCATTTGTTTCAAAATATCACAATGCAGGTCACGCTTGTGTTCCATATCCACCTACTTGAAACATAACAGGGAAATTAAATCAAGCAAAATGTGAAATAAACATTTTCAGCGCTATTTGATGTACATAATATTCAGATAGAAAGTCTTGCGGAAGGGCATTCCAGGGAGCGCACAAGCAAGTAGTGTCTTTGAGAAAAGTTGTCTGTGGTTATGACCTAATTCTCCTATTGCAGCAAGCCGGGTTTGACAGTGAAGCACCAAGTGGGAGGGGGGGTGTGAAACGGACCAGCCTTTGCACTTCACACACGAGTTCACGCACCAGACTGTTAAAGATAAGCAAACAAGTCCAACAAGACTTAACTTAGTGCAGAAACACAGGCATCAAAATGTCTGCAAATAGCGGTGTGTCTAGGTAAGTCTGGAATCTGCAGTCTTCCTGTTTACCCTTGTTATTGTGTTTTGGCTGTGCCTACCTCACCTCTGTGAATAGATCTCTGAGTCACTGCTGGCTTTTCCCATCAATCCTCCTACGGGCATTCAGGCCTTTTGGCTCTTAAATAAAGTACAGTTTGTCATTCTGTCATGCAAATGACAGCACGGCACAAAAATAAGAACGCAGTGTGTGTGAGTGCCATCCTTCCGCCCGGATTCTTTCAGTTCTGCAAAGATAAATACAAGTGGATCAGTTTTTGTTTACCTTCCATTGTAGCGCCACTGCACTCTTGTCGCTCAGTTGTTGCCATTTTGGCAACTGATCCGAACAAGAATCTTGAACAGTAAGTAGAATTTCATTTAATTATACTATTTAGTTACCATATTTAGTTACTGAGCAGATGGTCTGGGCAGAGTGGATACTCCTGTTGTGCCTACAAAAACAAAATAACTAAAAAATAGTTTTAGTTATGTTCTCAAAATACCATATAAATGTACAATGGCCTGATTCTCACTGTTGTAAAGCAAGGAGAGGACAGTTGCAGTTTCAAAACCTAGAAGACAGAGGGCACTCTACTCAATTAAGAACATCCATTTCTTAGAATCCAGTAAAGACATGCCAGAAGAACATAAAAGAAATAGATTCATTGCATATTTGTCAAACCAAAATGTTCATTTGAAAAGGACACTTGGCACTTTCATTGATCTATTTTTCAGGACAAGTTCCAATGTAGGTAGTTTTGATAAAACAAGATTCTACCTTGTAATGTTTCCTTGAATCCCACGTTTAGGGTTAAGGGTCAGCTCTAGGCATCTATGATATGGATGTGTTTAAACATACTGTTAAATATTAATTTGAATGTCTGCACATCAGCCCCAGAACGTTTGGTACTTTCCCAGCTGTTACGTGAAAAACTCATTGAAGTTTATTGAATCTTGCTCCTCTAGTCACACATTCATATCGAGAGTGAGAAAGCCAGGTACCGCAGATAACACAGAGATGCCCTGTTGGAATTTTGTTAGCTAACTGCAGCTCTTTGTTTCCCGTTTCCCCTTACAGAGTCATAGCAAAAGCCACTGACCAAAAGACTCTGTACGGCCACAAATGCTGGTTTCTAGTCTGCATCCCAACACCAAAACAAACAGCACACCCATGTAAATAAATGATATATGAATGCATGCAGAAATAAGGGTTAGGTGACCTGAATTGGGGGGGTAAACCACAATCATCTGATTCAACCTTGCATGAAAGACAGAAACTCATCAAATAAGAATATAATCTAATCAATATACACATCTAGGCAGGTGTTTCCTGATATTTTATAACAACACCTTAAGAATTACACTGTTGTGCTGCTAGTAATGATGACTATTTAGATCCATACTTGGATCCATTGCATACTTAGAACTGTAAAGCTGTTTTGATAATTTGATAGTGTGAGACTCTGGATGAGACAGCAAACTGAACCACAAGATGGGAGGGTGAAATGGGCACTTTATTTGGGTTTTGGGTTTAACAAGCAAATCTCACACCAGTTTCAGCTTCAGCACACATAAGGCTGTATGGAAATAGGAGTCATTAGATCTACAAATAGGTGCAGGTTGGAGCATCAAGGTCTTGAGAAACCAAGGTTCATCACCTGGAACCATCCCCCCTAGAATATGCACCTCTCCCTATGTCAATAAAAGATGTGTCAGTGTTTACGGTCCACAAAATACCTTACTGTGTAAAAGTTCACATGTCAGTTAAAAGGAATAGAAAGACTGCTATCTCCTTAAAGTTTGTATGGCTGAGAGTCTATCACCTCTTTGTTGCCGCGCTTCTGTTGTGCTGAATGAGATTGGTCTTCTAGCTTCGGAAGATGCAGATCATACTCCTGCCTTGTCGTTGAGGCCTTCAATGCCTTGGTCAATCAGCTCATGCACATGCAGCCACCTCCTGGTGGAAAAAGGCCAGTTTCAATCTTTTTCAAGGACACTGAGGGTGGAAAATCAAATGTCATATGTCATTATTGGATGTGTGCTAAGGCCAATCCAAGCACAACAAATGGCTTCGCCCTTTCTCCTGCTAATTCTTCTCTGCTGAAAATCAGAACTTTTGCTTTACTTGCTCCTTTAAGGACCATCTCTCCAGCTGTGGGAGTTCCTGTAATTTTCAGCTGATCAGACCATGACCGTTAGCTGGCTATTTCTTCTGCATGGTTTGTCTTGAATCTCTGTTGCTGTGTTATTTTGCCACACCCAAGATTAAAATTTGGCTAATGGTGTGAGGTATTCCTGGCCAAACCTCTCCCCCTTCTCTGTCAGATCCGCAAAACTGTTTGGATATTATGCAACACTGACTTTTGCAATTAGTGTGCGTGTTTTCCTGTTTAAATTGCAGCAGTACTTGTAGATTTCACATTTCGCCTCTGCACACTGCACTTCAGCTGTGGTCTGCCTGGATTTGAATTCATTTTCTTACAGGGCATTTGAAATTTAATGGGCCATAAGCTTGTTAGATGAAGAGCAGGATTTGTCCAAAAAATCTTAAACATACTATCAAACAGACGGCATCCCTTTCTTTGTACGTGATACATCCTGATTCTGCTTTGTCAAGAATGCTTCCACATGGGCAGAATGTATATTTGTACTTTATGTAGATGTACTTCCTGTGTTTGATGCTGATATTGTACCCAGACATTTTATCAGAACCAGAATCCTTCTATTTTCAAAGCATGGAAAGTACAAAGAATTTGTTTTGGTGCATGAGGGACACAATTAAACACATAACATAATCCTATGAGTACTGCTTTCATACTGTCCAAATAGTTGGTACATTTCACAGATCTCTTGCACATTACACTTCTATTGCACAGCACAGTACCTCTTACCTATCACTTACGTATAGATTATGTACAGCTGAACATTTCATATATTTTTTATTTTATATTGTTATTTTTCTATATTTTTTTATTCTCTTATCATGCACAGCTGCTCGGAGTGACCAGGGTCACATTCCACTACATGTTGTATGTGTACGTGACGAATAAACCTCTTGAATCCTGAATCTTGAAAGACATAAATACAAAAGTCAGTTAACAGAATTAAAAATTAAAAATACAAATGGAAATGTGTGAAAAATAAATAAATAGATATGTAAATAATGGTGAGAGGGAGCTTTGGGGTCTGTGCAAAATAGCTTTTGAAATATGAATAAATATGAAACAATCCCATTAGTGCCAGTGTGCTCCTCATGGTTTCTTATAGTTACACAGTCAGGATCACAGCAATCGACTGACGTCATTGGTTCCTGATTGGTGCTCCTGTTAGCAGGATCAAGCATGGGAGAGTTCTGGAAAACATTCAAGAAACTGCAATTAGAACAATTCAATAAAAATCCAGCAATAGCAAAGACCCATGTTTTTCTTGTTGTTTTCTACATCTTTGAACATTTTAAACACATTAAAGACTATTGGTCAAAACGACCCACAACATCATCACTGTATACAGGGAAGTCTACAGAGACATTACAAAACACATCAGACTGTCCAAATCATTAAATGTTACTGAGAAACCGTGAGATTAGTAATGCTGACAAGTTAAAAACCACAGTGGGTCATATTGACCTACAGCTTAATAAGAAACCTAAATTGGGATCTAATTCTGGTCCCGGAAACTCTATGCTGGCCTTTCTTCCTTGCGATTGAACTTTTCCAGAACCGCTTATTCGCAGCGCAAAAGGCAAAGATACATGCGAGACTACAATCACATAGGAAACACACGTAATACAAGAAGAACACACGTGCACGCGCACACACGCTCGCACGCACGCGCACGCACACACGATACAGTATCCTGGAGGTGTGAAGCAACAGTGCTACCCACTGAGCCACGCAGTAACTGAACATTTCTCATTTGAATCTTATTTGATCAATTTCTGTTCTGATTTCAGTCAAACTATATTATTTACAATATATACATTATATGTGTAAATATTTAACTATTTTTGGTTTTGAAATTGCTACACATTTATGAACAAATAAAAATGTTTCATTTGAGAGGAGTAAATATTAAATAGTTTTTTTTAATTAATTAGCACAAATGTAGGCTTACTCTGAAATTGTTTTATATGAAACTGTCTCTTTTAGGATTTTTATAGATGTGACATTTGTGTCAGTGTTCCCTAATGGCACCGTAAAATCAAATTAATTAAGAAGCAGGTTGGAACAAAAGTCGGCGTGACCCATTTGGGCCCTCCGAATCAGAACTGGGGGGACTGGTACCTGGTGAAATAATTGCTCCATTTTTCATTCCTGATTCCTGTATGTTATACAGTAGACGTATACCTATACTTCACATACCCAGCTCAAAGTGCGTGACGTATGCATAGTCACCCCCCCCTACCGCGAAACCGCCAATTGTCGCTCGGAAGACCGAAAGGCGCCAGGTTCAATTGTCCGTATTTTATTTTTGCTTTGTTTCTTTGTATAGTTTGCATTTCAAACATCAACAATATAAAACGGTAAGATACAGGGGAAGTTTTCTGCCACGCGCAATGAATTGCATATTGCGACCTTAAAACTTCTTGTTTTCTTAAAGTTGTTTTCCCGCACGTTTTCGATTTATATATAGCGCCTTTCCAAATAGCTAAGGGTCTCTCCCGCAGATGGGTCGCAGACAGTCGCTGCAGACGGAGACGCCGCGCAGGTCCGCCCGCCTGATGAGCGCCGCGGCGGCGGAGGTGCGTACGGTGATCGCTGGGTCTCCCCGAAGCGTGAGCGCTTTTTTCCGCCCTGCTTTTTTCCATTGGGTTTTCGCGGCCACGTAGCAGAGAGAGAGGGGGTAGGTTAGCGGCTGCAGGGCTGTGCTTATTACTCACTACCAGGCGGCGCAGGGCTTCCGTTCATTGTTGCGTTTATTCTTGCACTCCGCCTAAATCGATGGTGAGTTTTTAATGCTTTCAAATAAACCATAATGCACTTGAGGTGAAATGCAAAAAACGCGGATGCATCAAGCCTTGCTGTATTTTTTTTAAGTTTCCAGTATGTTCTCGTGAGAACAAGGTACGATCATTTTGTACATAAGGAGTCGGATAATAGGCTTTTACGGAGCTTACTGCCCCTCTTTAGCTTAGCTACCTAAGTTATCTAAGCAGGAAAAACGGTGATGACATAGAAATAGCATTGAGACGGTGCCTTTTATGTAATATTTGAAAACCTCTTGTGCAGGAAGTGGCACAGGAAGGGAGCGTTAGTAGTCTGTTTTTTGGCTGCCTGAAACTAAGTTTATTTAGCTAAAACACACCGGACTCGTTTTTGATTATTGCAATAGCCGGCGAAGTGCGATTCTCGCGTCCCTCCTAGGCTGTCCCGCAGCGGGCATCCATCCTGCGGCACCCAGCGGAGCATGTCCGTGTGTTTATTTCAGGAGAACTCAGAGAGGGTGGGAGGAGAGCAGCTCCGACACGGGATTAGAGCTGCGGAGTCCGGAGCCTATGATCCCATCCCAGAGACTGCTGACGAGACCGGTGCTAGGGCGCCGATGGACTCCCGCCTGGGCACAATAGTAAGATCTTCCGTGTCTTTTCGTAGCTCATTATAGTAGCATGATAACCGGGGCGTTTCCACTTAATGTTGTGTATCTACATGCTGCATCTCCCTGCTGAAAAAGACAGCATACATCAGCATGATTTCCATACTGGTCTATGCTGGTTAGTGCTGATCTACCTGCACGTGAAGCTGGTCGACCAGTAATATTTCATTACTGATGCTGCTCCACCAGCACCAAAACACAACATATGCTGGTATAACCAGTATGCATTATACTGGTCATGCTGTGTTTTTCTTTCAGCAAGGCTGCTTTGGTAGGAGGTATGGTTGCATCCCAGACAGTCTGCATAATAATACAGTTTGTGTTTTTTTTTTCTTATCTCTGTTTAATTTCAGAGTTCTGACTGTAGTGTAGTCTTGAACAGGCTGAAGTTGGAAGATGACCAGAGCGATGGGGAGAATGAGAGAAAAGAGGATGGAGAAAAGGAGGAGCTTCGGAGATCTGCGAAGTCTTCCACCTCAAGGATCCCCACCTTCCAAAGCTCGACGTCACGGCGTCGTACCACCGGCCAACCAGCTGACGCATCTAGCCAGGTTTTAGCCAGGGGAGATGTCTTCAGCCTGCCGGTCCATCCCCGGGGGAAAGGAAGTGGTGGGGGGGAGTCCATTAAAGGAAAGGGGGCAGGCAGCAAGGACGCAGCTCTTGCCTTCCCCTTGACGCGTCACCCCATTGGTGACCCAGTGATCTCCAATCCTAGTAGCCAGAGAATAGGTGAATTACTGCCTCATTCTGGTCATGAAGAACCGTTTAGCAGTCCCCTTGAAGCACCCCTCCCTAGCCACAAAGCAAACGTCTCCACCGGTCGCAAGTCTCCAACCCTCCCCAGCAGCAGCGGCAGCCACTTCCAGCAGCCTGGGCCGCCTGTCCTCACCCCCCGTCCGGCCTTAAGGGCAGAATTGGCCTCCAGAGATCCAGAACTGCCAACTGACCAGCATCAGGAGCTCTCAGGTCAGATGGAAGCCAAGGTCGGGGGTTTGCCCTCTGACCAAAATGAAGTAGAAGAGCTGGAAGAGTCCCAGGTTCAAGCAGAGATCGTGTCTGACTCTGGTGAAGAGTTGCGAGAGGAGGAGCAATCCGTGGATGAAGATGGAGGTCAGGGTGAAATCAAGTGCAGGCCTAATTTTAGGCCGGGTTTCTCAAAAAAAGAAGCTGAATCTTGTGAGGATTCTCAGGTCATGGGGAACCGTGCTGAGAACGTGCCAGTTAAAGGAAAGGGGCTCGGTGCCAGGCTGCAGGGCACTGGGGAAGGAGTGCAGCTTCCCAAATCCAGAGGAGATGCGGGCACTACGGAAGGCACAAAGAAAAAACAAGCGTCGCCAAGGAGCACCGTGGAAGCGTCGGCTGTCCGGCCCCCAGGCTCGGGGGGAGCCAAATCCCGGCCGTCGTCCAGGGTGAGGCGCATGAACGGCCACTTAAGATGGCCACTCCACATCTCTGCTTGGTTTTCACGGTTTATATCTACTTCTGCTGGCTTCTGTGTTTCATTGTTTTCACCGTTTTCCTATGAATGATTGCTTTATTACATTCTTTTTAGAATATGTTCTGAGGTTTTTCTCATGGTGTTCTTAGACCAGTCTTGTCTTGTCTTGTCTTGTGTTCTGCTCTTAAATACTAAGCACCTTCAGTTTACGCTTTAAGAACAGTCTGGAAAAGGCCATTTCTTTTGCTTTTGTTAATGAATACTCAAGTTTTGCCTGTCTACCAGTTTTAAAGGCAGACTTTGAGCTTATTCGTAATCGGTGCATTTTTGTGAACTTGCAGCAAAATGTGATGTCGTACATGTTTGTATAATTGCTGATGTCCCTTTACTGACACCCCCCCCCCAGAAATGTGGTCCCTGCCTCTGCTTGACCCTGCCAATGCTCCTTCTACTGTGTGGATTTTCTCTTCACATCTGGCGCTACGGAACCCCAGCTTCTGTGGCCCAGCTGCTGGTACAGGTGCAACTGGAATGTCTGAATATGCTGCAGGGGTCAAGACCGCCCTGCAACAGCGACTGCAGGTTAGCAAGACCTCGGGGTGTGAGCATATAACCAACCGGTGCGTCCTGTCTGTTCGGTTAGGGTCAGAATCGTTGTTAGGCAGGTGAGAGTCGCAAACATGAGACGTTTCGCCAGTACAATCAGTTTGTATGTCAAAATGTTTGTAGGCATGTTTACTGATCCAGAGTCAGATTTGAAGAAAGAGAGAAAAGGGTTAAGGTGGAATGAACTGAGGAAAAACTTAGACAAACTTATCAATCTCTCTCTCCTGTCCCTTCGGTTCTCACCATCCTTCCATCCATCCCAGGGGGAAAATCCGTTCAATTCTAAATTCTGCTATTAAATTCTGAAATTAAACGTATGACCCTTAGACAGGCACTGGGATCTGTCACGACGGTTACAGAAATGAAATGGCGAAACGTTCCATCGTCGGTTGCAGTTCCCTGCAGCGGAACGTGCCCTTTGCACAGCCTTGTTTCTCAGGCGTCTCACCGGTTCCGTCTCCCCGGTCCTGCCCCCCCACTCGCAGCTTCTCCCTGGTGGAGAGTATCCCCGAGGGCATGGAGCTGGGCACCCCGGTGCTGCCCCCTATCTCTCAGGCCTGGTTGGATCTGCTGAGCGGGGCCAACGAGACAGTCAGCATCGCAGCCTTCTACTTCACCCTCAGGGCCTCCGACGTGGGGATGGAGGAGCCCAGTGCTCACCAGGTGGGTGTCCCTTCTGCCTCCACGTGCTGGTGGCTCTCGTGTTTGTGTGCAGGGGCTGTTTAGGGAAGTGTTTTTTAACCCAGTCCTGACAGTCCACATTTTTGTGCCTTCCCTTCTGCCTGCCAGCCGGTCCACGTTTTTACAAAAGACATGGACTGCAGTGGAGTGGGGGGGTCCCCAGGGTGGAGGGTGGTGGGGGGGGGGGTCCCCAAGGCCCAGTTTGAGAAACACTGGACTAGAAGATGTGTGCCTCTGTGGTTTATTGAGCGATGTTTGGTATTCGTGTGTCCGCGCACCTCTAGGGGGAGGAGGTCTTTCAGAAGCTCGTACAACTGCAGTCGAGGGGTGTTAAACTCCAGATTGCCGTCAATAGCCCGCAGGCCAATCCTCAGGACACAGACGACTTTGCCAGATCAGGTACCAGCACTGGATTGGGGGGGGGGTCTTTGGTCATTTATTATGTCAGTTCATTCAACTGTTAAAATGATTTTGTATTAGTTTGCTTTAAAGAGCAGTGTAATCATTATGAGTTAATAGACATAAGCCATTACAAATGGACCCTTC